GATTACGGTTATGTGATACGAGCATAATCACTGGTAAATCATTAACACCGAAAAATACCAATCAAAAATGCACGTTTATAACTAAGGGTTTCTATTCTAAGCTTTAACATTAATTCAAAAGAACCATATCTTTCTACTGCTGTTTATAGTTCACCCACCGTGAAAAAGTAAACTAGTTCCATTTTCCCTACGATAGTGTCGAGCATTTTGTCCTTGGTCTTGTCTTTTCTTTTCTTCCTCAACCGGCTATAATTGAGAGCTACTTCTTTTCTCACTACTGCAGCTACCATTGCCATCGAGCCGGTTATTCTTGACTCAAGGTGACAACATGCTCGTGTAATTCATTACTTTTGAGTCGTCCAGTGTGTCTCCCTACAGCCATATTGTTCGTACTTCTGTTCTACGTAGTTGAAAGGTGATTGATTTGTTTGAAAAGACTTGAATACCAAGATAACCCACGAGCAATCATTGGTCCATACCAACAAAAGCAGGCATTTTAAGAATGTAAACGGGGATGATTTGGAGTAGAAAATAATCTTTGTCTGCCGTTATCTCGATATCACAATTCCTATAAGTGAATTTTCCGATCATTCTTAATCCATAAAATCTATTGTGTGCCCCGACTTCTTTTTTACCTCGATATCTTGAAAGTGTATATTTAACTCCTTTATTTATTTCCAATAATATAATACTTAAGTGTTATAAGTTATGACAGTGCAATATCTTTTATTTCATTAACGCTAAAGTATTTTTGAAATTTTAAGAGGTTTCCTAAAATGGTTCTTTTTCAGCTTTTGAAAGAAAGTCATTAGATTGCAACAGTCATTTAATGATGTAGAGCCAATGTTTGTTGAATTTTGCTATATAAGACTAATAAAATTAAGATCAATGATTCAATAACAATTTAATATATTTGGCCACTATAAAATACCAAGTCACTCAATCAGCTAAATCTTGAACACAATATCATTGTATTGGAATATTATTATTAAATCATTACTATAAACAATAAAAACTAAAGACTGGCATGCAAAGAAGCTAGCCAGCACGTTGGAATGGGCTAATGAGGCCTTGAACGAACTACAGGAGAGCAAGCATTCGGTTTTGATTAAACATGTTGAATCGCGCGAGCTGTTTGAATTGATCATGTGATCACGTAGTTAGCGCCCGAGACGTGATGATTCGCACATCGGAAGAAAAAAAGCAACTGACTCGACTTTGTGGGGAACTAATAATGTCTCATAAGATCTAGTCGTGATTCTTAGCACTTTTTTTTAGCGTTTTTTTTTTT